TATGTTTTTGTGCTTACAAGTAGATACAACTACAAATAGCATGTACTACATGAATACAAAGTCAAGTTTTCAATTAGTACATATATCAAATGTTAAAATTATGTATGTATTTCTCAATATGTGCTCAAAGACAAGTTTTCTTCAAGTAGGAGAGATTGATGTACCTCAAAAATTGATGTCAAATGAGGAATGGAAGGTTTTTTCACCCAGGTGAGGAACTAATAGTATTTGTGTTGAAAAAGGTAAAAAGTAATAGAATGGAGTACAATGAAGTTTTAGACCAACTCAAGTGAATCAGAGACTCAAGAGGCTTGAAGACTCTATTTTACCCAAATTCAGCTTGAAATGGCCTAATAAAAGATTTGATCACATGCTGAATACCCCTAAATCTCAAATATGTATATTTTATTCATGTAAAATAATCTACTTGTTCTATATATGATGTTCCTATTTCTTGGGGGCATTTTAACAGAATCCTCCTTTTCGGGATTCCAGATTCGATAAAGAATTGATTGAATTTAGAGATCTTTCTCGATCAATCCCTTTCTCCCTCATTCTTTGAGAATAAGAAAGATTCTTTTCGAGTTTGAATTTGTTCATTTGGAATCTGGGTTCTTCTACTTATACTTATTTATTTACTTATTGATTTAAATTTTCTTTTATTTTGTTTTATTCTTTAATCCTTTTCTTTCTTCTTGTTGCTGGATATCTCGTTTGTATACATCTTCTCTTTGTTTCTCGAGCCTCTAGTGAGTTACAAATAGAGTTAGAAAAGATCAAATATTTGATGAAGTAAGATTTTATAGTCTTTCCTATCATCTTAATCTATTTGTCTTATTTTCTAGGATCATAACAGATTTTCCCTTTTATAGGCTAGTTATAACTAATTTTCAGCCTAAAAATAGCCCCCCCCCTGTAGTCCCAAAAGAAATTTACATTTTAAGAATCAAATTTCGAGTTCCCTTCTTTTTTGGAGGTTCTTCCCTTCTGCTTATGAATTCTAATATCTCTATGGACTCAATGAGCCATTTTTCATCCTATGGACTCAAGATCAACCCCTTGTGGACTCAAGGGGTGAAATCTCTTTGTTTTGTGGATTCAAGACAAGGGGCTTTCAACCAAGACATGTTCGTTCTAGATTCAAGGTCATGATTTTACTTCCATAATACATAGGCAAAGCTGAAACATGATCAAGTTATCAATTCTTCAAATTTTTGTCATGTCATTGTTAAAGAAGAAAAGCTCAATTATAGAGAAGGCTTATAAATGAAAAATTGATCAAAACACATGAAGATTGAAGGTTGAACATAAAGTTCTTCCTGTCACATGCATTATCTATGTGTGAGAATATTATATTATCTTCTCTAACTGATTTGACAAAATGATCAACTCCACTATCATGGTTCTTACTCTCCATTAGACCCTAAGGTTATTGATTGGTAAAATAAATGTTTTTGGCAAAGTCATGACATGAATATCATTGTATAATTCTTGAGAGAATTAGTAAATACTAGAAGGAAGTTTCTTATTAGACTAGAAGTATCCAAGTGAGGTGCAAACCAACATAAAACTTTTGGTGTACGTCATGAGAGAGAGTTGAGAGGCCTTGTCATTCCATGTGTTGACACATACTACGACACATGCAGATAGGTTTAGTTTAAATCCAAAAATTAAAAAAATCTAAAAAATCCAATTCACTTCCTCCCACCCTCCATCTTGGTATTTCACCTAGCGCCTATAGTTTTGCCATTTATTAATTGTGATAGTTGATAGGCTTTATGAGACGCATGTAATATGTCTAAAACGAGGTAGACCTAGGACTAGTAGATTTTAGGGTTTTAGAAATGGGATGATAGAGTTCTTGATATCTTAAAATAGGTTGTATTTTAGATCTTGGAATAATAGAACTAAGGTAGGTAGTTCAGAAATTGATGTAGACTAAACTAGTTCGGCCAAACAATTATTAAATGTTGTGTTATCTAAATATTTCAAAATTTTCATATTCATCTAGGTCAATTATATTTATTTAATATAATATTTGAATAATTTCAGTAATGGAGAAATAGAATTGTCAAAAATATAAAAATCAAGTTAATTTATTTTTTATTATATTAATCAAAACATTAATTACACAATTTTAGTAAAATTGAGCATCAATTCAGCCAATCTTAGATCATCTTGCTTGTAAACTAGGGACCAACATGTGACTTTTGTTATTTTAAAATTGTTTCTGAATTAATTATCGGAAAATTATGAGCAGTCATTTAAATAGTCTAGATTTGATTGATCAATTCTTAAGCAATAATGGTGATTTCAAATCATTTACATTTAGTATATATGGTGAGCTTTCATAGTAATATTTTACTTTAATATTTCACATACACTTTGATGTGGAAATAGGTACATTATGTTAACATGAAGTTTTTTAAATTTATCCTTTTAAACAGCAATAAGAAAATAACGATATTTGGAAATAAATTTATCTGAATTTTGAAATTCAAATTGCAAGTGTAGAATACATTTCTTGAAGTACCTTCTGGAAAATTAGTATCATATATACTCCAAGAATTTAATAATTAATTAATTTCATACATGTATAAGATATTATTTGTGTATGCTCGGGCTCATGAAAGAAGCATGCTCATAAAAGAAGCCGCTCCTGTTGACTGGAGCAGTCTACTTTGCTGTGGACTTCTTTCTCACCAACAAGAGGAAGTATCCTGTGGCTTCATGAAAAATGAATAATTATCATGATTTTATCTATTTACTTGTTTTATGTGTTTTTAATTACCAAAACTTCATGTGTTAATTAGTGTTACAACTTAGGTTACCATATTCAATGTAGACTTGTTGAGGCCATTATAATCAATATAGGCTTGTATAAGATTAATGTTTGATGTCGATCACTACGGAACTATTGGAATGTAAGGTCTTTGACTTTGATTAGTGGAGTAGGTGAGATAGGCTTAATCATTACAATAGTGTCTATTTGGAGTGATGAATTAGAGGACAAAAGAGATACACAAAAGGTGATTGATTCACCCTCCCTGTTTGTTCTTAGTGAAACCTCGCTAACATCCTTTGTTCCCAATGTTCAAGGCTAGCCCACTCCTCATTCATATCCTTGATTTAATTGTTGATCACAAAATGGAAGTTAGAGAAGAACACAAATTAAGCCTTGATTGTACAAGGAACAACATTATCAAAATGATTTTGATGATCCATCTAGTGAAATGAATCAAAATGATTCACTTTTAATTCTTTAAGAAAAATAAAATTCTACCATTGGTGGTTTACTTGAAATCACAAGGTACTAGCATTCCATTAGGTGAAAGTTAATGCTAGTATTGTAAAAATTAATATCAACTAATATAAGAACACGAAAAGGTAAAACTAAATTATTAGTCTTCCAAATCTTGTGTTTTTTCCACGATTTTGGGACTGCTTTTTAAATTTTGAGGTTGAACTCATTTTAGGGCTTCCAACCTTTGTCATCTATCATTTTACATCTTCAGACTTGCTTTGTCACTTATCAACTGACCTAGAATTGGACCAGATGTTGATATCTGTATTCGGTTTTGGTTTACCTAAGCTGCCAAAGAAGAAGTGACGTTACAAATAACGGAATACCATGTTCATTAGAGGTAACAACAGTACCATCTTCTTCACTGTTTCAGAAGAATGTCACATTCTTACCTCCACCTAGCACTCTTTCTAGGCTAAAGGAGTAGATAGTTTTGCCTCTCGACCTCCTAGGTGTTATACGTTTGACCGTCACAACTCTGGATTACTTGCCGTGGGTAAGGCCGCCCTAGCCTTATCTTTGAAGCCCTTCGCGTAGTTCAACTCATATAAACTGCACTAGTGGAGCGCCGAAAGCATACTCTAGAAACGCGTACTGAGCTATCCCACTCTTCGCATCTCGACGAGAGAAGTGCTCGGAACTCGCATTGGATGCACCGGAGTTGTAAGGGCAGAGTTTCGGTCCGACCGAAGCTCCCCAAAAAACCCGCGGATTTGACCGTCCTGTGTGCGCCACCACTGCTCCTCGTCTACCTACACGTAGGCGATTGGGCCATGTCAAAGGGAGGGTTTTGTCGCGTCGGCGACGAATCCAAGATAGGGCCTGTTGGAGGGGAGAAACTCTTGGAGCCGCTCTCGCGGCCGTGAAGATAGAACGGCTTACAGGTGGACACCAACGGAAGAGTACAGCTAAGGCAAGAAGCCGTATCGGGGTCGGATGCTACGCAGATTACGACCGATTTGAGTGTCACCATGTTTATCTTGTCATGCCATCTGCATTCCGTCTGGCTGAGCAGGGCATTCGATGAAAGTAAGGATAAACACGAGACAACATGTCCCGGCTTGTACTCACAAGTCGAACGTGTACTCTCCCAGCATCGCGCTCTACCGATGGGATCAAATTGGGGTGTTGCTAAACGGACTGGTCAAGGGGAAAGCTTATGAGAAACATGGATAAAAACACCGGTTCGTACTGTGCCGACTGCTGACTCCCAGGAGCGTACGTGGAACTTCAGCTCCCACTCCATCACTATCGATTGTTGTCGTATTAGCTTTTTATGTAAATATATATGAAATATCGGCAACCAGCTGGTTTACACTCACGAGTTCACCCCGCAAAAAATATTGCTTTCCCATGCGTTGGACCTTGCTGAGTCTATAATCTTGTCTCCATTTCAAGACACATAAGATTTTATAGATAGTTCTCACTAAAATCTGTAATGTTAGAGCCCAAAAATCCCAATTATCCATTGTATCCAAAAGGACAATAAGGAGCTATAGTAACAAGCTTCATTGATTGATTCGTCGTGGACTCCGCCGGCTTTAACATCACGAACACAAAATCAAGTTCCCATTACAATATCATCACTTCTGCTGGATAAACAGAAGCATCATAAGCTTATTTTCTCTAACTTACATTTTATTCTGCGCGTTCAACTTCTGTTGAACTAAGCAGGTCGTCCATGCCCTCTTCGCAATCAGAAATTTGCGGCCGCTATTGCCGCCTGGTCCGCCGCTTCTGGGGTGGTAGAACTCGTCTCGGCCTCTCCATCGGAGGACACGTCGAGGAGGTAGAGAAGGAAAACCAGCACGACACAGCAGACGAACATCGGCACGGGGCCGAAGGTCCAAAGAAAAAGGGGGAATGAGAAGTAAAAGGCCCTCAAGCCCAGAGACCAGAAGTAGTTTCCCTTGTCCAACATCTTTGCGACGAACTCCGGCGTGATTTTCCGCCGCAGCCTAAGCTCCTGCCCGCCGCCCGTAGCCTTGGCCCCGGAGTCGACGACGGGCACGTTAATGAGGATGGTTGAGTGGCTGTAGTAGCGAACTGACTGCACCTCGAAGAGGAATGCGAGGAGGAAACACGAGAGAATGGAGAAGAACTTGATGGTGAGCCCCAGCTCGCTGGCGTCGCCGACGACCAGCTTAGCGCGCCCTTCTTGCAGCCTGCTCGGCCACCCACCGCTATTGGTCATCAGGACGGCGATCACAGAGGAGAGCATGATGGCTGTGGAGGCCATCAGCGTGGAGGCCATGATGTTGTTCCGCAGGCTCTGAACTGCGAGTACGCCCATCTTAGCGGGGTCCTGTTGCAGAAAACGAACGACACACGGTGAGAAAAAAGGATGGGGAATTGGGACAGGAAACTCGGGACCACAGTAGGTGGGCACCTCCATCATGCTCTGCACCCAGAAGCGGCGATTGATGCTGTTGATGCCCATAACGGTGCGGGTGGGATCCCTGCGAACGCAGCGCACCAGCCAGACGTGGTAGGAGGCGAGGATGATCAGGCCAATTGGCACCAGCGCCAAGTCCAGAGCTTCCTTCTTCATGATGTCTAGTGTTGGAAAAGAAGAAGACGGAGATAGAGATGGAGATGAAGCGAGACTTTTATGTATAGGGTAGGGACAGAAACGTGACAAAGATTTTTCCCATTTTTGTATTAAACTAAGTGGCGAATGCGTCACTCCGAGCGTCACCTGGCAGTCGCCGTCTGAGTTCACGGTAAACGGGGGTCGGATGGGGCATCCAATGACGACTTGCATGACTCGCCATTTTTAGGAATCTCGTTGGTCGTCATCAACCGGGACCATTTCTCTAGACATATTCGGCTCTGATTCTCGACGAAGAAAAGTCAACACCTCGATGATGTATAACGGGGCATTACAATAACAGTATGCCCTTCAGTTTCACTGCACCCGGCCGGTTCTTTGCAAGTCCAGAATCAACAGCGCCGCGCGTTTGACGCGGCCTGAGTTGGTGCAACTATCTGATGGGGATCAAAACAAAGCAAGCCAGCACCTCCGTGTTGACAGCACACCGGCCCATGCTCATTTAAGAGCTATTTCCTTCATTATTAATTTCTTTTTGTTATCTCCCTAGTTTGACTTCGCAACGATTATAAATATCCTTGTAATCCAAGACCAAGGCAGATAAGAAGAAGAAATTAAGTTTGAGGTTTCCCTCGATTCGCTCCGCAAGGAGAGGCCATGAGGGTCACTTATCCATCGCAAACCGCCGCCCGCTGCTGCCTTCATCCGCCCACCGTCGTCCATCGCCCGTCAGCATCCCATTGCCTTCATCCTCCACTGCTGCCAACGTCTGTCCCGTCAACCGCCGCCGTTCGCTGCCGTTGTTTGCCCCCCCGCCCCCATCGCCACTGCCGCCGCTGCCGCTGTGCCACCGCCGTCTACCGCTGCCACCATCTCTACCATTTGAATCTGGTGGGTATCTGCGTAATACACACATTTCCCGACATAAGCGCTCAATGACACGGCTCAGTAGGACCCCTGTCGTCCTCTTGAAACGCACGCAGGTTACCTAAAGAGATTGGGCGAAGAGAAGAAGGCAGGAAAAAGATCGAGGGAGCGAGTAACCACTCGAAGAGTCTCAAAGGAGTATTATTATGTTCTTTAGCATTATAGTCCGATCCTTTTCTCTCTCTAGCAGTTATTTCTCTCTCATTTTCATTCAGGTCCTCTCTTTCCATAATTGGTTGTTAGTGAGATGTGAGAACCCTCTTGATTCCTATCTTACCAACTTATTACCTATAGGGCACTATAATCATTGACAATTCATCAATCGTGTCAATTCACTTGCTCAAAATCTCGTAGGATTGCACTCAATCTTACCTTGGTCAACCCTCTTAAATTCTTGGATTGATTGATATAGGAGGTCTAGATTATCTGTCTAGGGTAGTTTACGTATTTCATCAACTCGTCCCGCGTCACCATCTCTTAGATAGAAAGATTGATTCGGCAATTCTTTTTGAGATCCTTTGGTCACACTAAGCGAATCTAAAGAAAATCAGATCAAATCCCGAAAAGCATTTTTAGATCTCCATCAATTTCAATGTCGCCTCCATCCACCGAACCAGGGATGCCAATGAATAATCATCTGCTTTAGGAACAAATCAAATAGTTCATTGGAAAACCTACAAGATCATTTCTCTTTCTGTCTCTTACAAATGGCCAGAGCTTCATCTGGGTTACAATCCTGCTGAGAGATCCATAAGAAATCAGAAATAGTTAATGAAAAAAAACGTAAATTTAAGTCTGCCCAAAATCTACATCTTGCCGTCTATTCTCTTGCCATTTCGGGATATCCAATGAGATGTGGGGCCATAAAGATAGCCAGCCATTTTCGCATTCTCTGCCTTGTTGTCTTTGTTTCATTTCAATGCTAGTGTACATTACTTTCCCTTCCCAAGTTCAATCGGCATGTACTCTCTATATCCGACAAAATAATCTTTTGAGAGGTCCAATCTCCACTGTGTTGTTAATTCTCAGGTGATCGATTCTCAGTTTCTTAATCCCATAGAATGCTTCATTTTGCCAGGGAATCTGAAGTTGATACTACCATATATTTCGCAATCACTAAGCAGGAACAGGGATAAGAGTTAAAATCTTACTAAGCATCTTCAGATTAAATTAGTGCAAATTTTCATAGGGACACGGTGAAAATTTTGACTTCGTTTTCGAGATGTCCGCAAGAACACAAAATCATCGCATTTTGGAGCTGGAGAGCAAAAACTCTGAAGGAAAGTGAAGCCTATGCCATATTGAACAATTTCAGTTTAAAACACTCTGCAAATTTCAAAGGAGGCTATGACATCTTGAACATCTTCTTGGCCGTGGTGCGCTCATCCAATATTTGAAGGGATTTTTCTCTTCGACTCATGTTGGTCGCATATTGTATGTTAAAAAAAAAACGGAAAACATAAGAGCACTCAAGCATATCACATTGAAAGCGTGCAGACCACTGAAAGAAACATTTTATTGTTGAGACAAATAAATAAGACTGTTTTATCTTTTTTGCATAGCTACTGAGGAGCGTCTTCATAACCATGACTACTTCACCATACTGGAAAACATTACAGGAGAATTTCAGAGATATTTATGTGCTCAATTGTGCCACTTTGTCTGTAATAAGTTGGGTCTACATGTTCAGAGGGTTCTCACTACATATTTATGACATGTGGGGTAGAGATTTTCCTAAATATCTTTCCCACCAATCCAGGTACGCTTTGGGAAGCTTCACTTGAACAGATAAGATAACATAGGTTTATATATATAATCATGTATGTCCATAGAATAACTAATTATCTGCCACATTTGCTTTGATAGAAAATTAGTTCCCACAAGTAATTTTATCATCGTCAATGCTTCGATTTTGGCCAAAATTATGAATGAGCCAGATTCGAAAATTACCTCAATGTCAAACGTAGCTTCAAGGCGTACAGTGAAAGGTCTTGCAAGAAAGCAGCACAAACCTCGAAACTAGTCCCGCTGAACTTAATAACCAAGGACGCTGGGATCCCCTACGTACTCTGCAATCTGCTCCAGGCGAACTTTGATCAGTTCATGGCTATCAGCATCCCGTACAACCGCTGTTTCCTTCTCTGAGTCCTTCTCCATCAACGTCCCAAAACACCCTTTATGCCTCCCGAACAGCACAAGAACAGGGCCTCCAGACCTAGGCAACACAGTTTCGAGCATCTCCTGATCTACTCCCTGCAGTAGCTCCCCACTCTCATCCATTGATAAGTCGCAGGTCATCGGCCCAACCACATCCACGACTTTGCCCTTCTTCAAGTACAGTTTCCCACGCCTCAAATCTTCGCTGATAACTCTAACTCTGATGTGACTTCTAAGCCAGCGAACCGGGCCCTCCTCTTTCCTGCCCTCGCTCGATTGGCGACTCTCACTCCTGTCGTGTTTACCGTCCCGACTGTTGGCTCTCTCGTCTCTGTCTTTATTACTGCTCTTGCGTTTCATTTTATCATCCTTCCCGTTTTCTGTACTTCTCCCATGACTCCTCCTTCCTACTCGATCCTCAGCCTCCTTCTGCTTCCTTAGGAACCTCTTCTCCTCCACTGAACCCAACTCAGCAATCACTTCTTCTGGAACACTCACCTCCGACCCGCCCCCTAGTAGATGCAGAACAACCAATCCAAGGGAATGCCTCGAACTCCGCAGAACCTCAGCCTTCATACCGGCATGCTCTCCAGCAATGACCCTGACGATTTTACTTTTCTTATCAACTCCGCTGGACCCAGAGCTGCGGGAGCTCGCCGGTGGAGGAACTGGGGGTAAGTCATCACGGCCCTTCTTCCGACCCTTCTCCACGGGCACTTCGGGTTTGAACCCAAGCCCACCATTGCCCGCCCACCTCTGGTATTCCCTCACCTTGGTATCCTCTTTGGCGTTCCTCCCAACTCCCTGACCGGCCTTCCATCCGTACCCCGCAAGGAGGGCCTTGCTGAAGTCCTCCACAGCGATGTCCTCAAACTCGTCGAACCCACGGTCCTCTGGTAGCTTCTCAATGTCTTCCCGCAACTTCTGTTCCGCCGAGAGAGCAGGCTCCGGCCGGACGCCCACAACTTCCGGATCGGTGTCCATTCCAAGATCGCCTCTATCCCTGCCATCACCGCCTCCACGAAGAATAAGGCCGTAGGTGGCGTTGCTGGAGTCGGTCTGGGAGGTGTCGAGCTCGAAACGGGTGGCAACCGCTGCCGAGGTCGATTCGAGATCGGATGACGGCGGCGGGAGAAGATTCTTCATGCGCTTGGGGGCCCTCCATGTATCGGTGTTGGCCAGGGGCGCGATTGATGCGGCGACAGCAGAATCAGCGGCTAGGGTTAAGTTGGGGTCGAATTCGGTGACGAATTCGAGCCTGCCGGACGCCGCCGGGTGCTCCTGCTGCCCGCCGACGCCATCCCTTCCGGTTCCAGTGGGTAGGGTACGAGTGGAGGAAGAGGATTTGGAAGAAGACAGAGAGAAGGAGAGCTTCATGGCGGAGCTCTGATGGCGCTCTGCCGCTGGCGAATGAGGCCGGACTCGAACTCAGACATGAAGACGAGAGCAACAAACCGCGTTCCTTAAAATATCCCAAAAGGAGAGTCTTTTTTACAATTTTTTATTTTAGTAAGGGCCGATAATTTTTTTTCCGCTTAAAATAGTGAGTTTATTTTATGAATTAAGGAAAATAGTCCTCCAAAAGCGGGTTCGCTCGAGACCCCTCCCTCGTCTTCTTTGATCCGAGCGTGATAAGTAGACAAGGGTAAAAGCGTAGGTTAAAAGGAGCCTTCTTCTATCCCTGTTCTTTTCTAGAGACCATGAATGAATGATGATGATATCGTCGCAGCAAGGTGGCTTCTCCTTCCTCCCTAGCGCCCGCTTCGTCGGAGGGGGCGGCGGAAGAGGCGCCGCCGCCGCCGCCGCCGCCGTTAGAGGAGATGACGACGTCTATGGAGCTCTTCCTATAGTGCGGGGGGGCTACAGTGGCCGCCACTTGCGCGCAATCTGCAGCTCGAAGCCCTCGACCTCCTCCGTCTCCATGTCCGCAGCCCCCGTCATATCGAGTGGTTCGAACCAGTTCCTCAGCCTTAGCAGGAAGTTTCATCGGTGCTCCGCTTTCCGGGGCCGTGCTGGAAGCCTAGACTTCAGTCTGGCTCCGGTCACGTCCTCCGAGGGTGAATCGGGGAGGAAACCAGAGAGACCGCGGGGGAGGAGGCGGAAGATCCGCAGGAATCGCGCTGCCGCAGTCTCCGTGGCTGAGCCCGCCCTCAGCTCCAACAGTCGACATCAAGCGGTGACCGCTCGTTCCAGTGGCGCCAGCAGCAGGCGATTCTTCCGCGGGATCGAGGGACTGAAGAGCAACGAGCGGCTGCACCGCCTTGTCCGGGAGGGAGAGCTGGATGACGGCCTAAGGCTACTGGAGGGAATGTACCGGCGTGGGGAGATCCCGGACATCATCCCCTGCACCAGCCTCATCCGAGGGTTCTGCAAGCTCGGCGAGACGCGGAAGGCTGGGCGTGTCCTGCGGATAATTGAGGAATCGGGGGCGTCTCCCGATGTAATCACCTACAATGTGATGATCAGTGGTTTCTGCAAACTCGGAGAAACAGATAACGCTCTCCGTGTTTTGGATCGGATGAGTGTGGCTCCGGATGTCGTCACGTACAATACCATTTTTCAGAGCCTATGTGAGAGGGGGAAACTCGAGCGAGCGATGGAGGTGCTCGACGGAATGCTGCAGAGAGGATGCCTACCCGACGTTTTCACGTACACGATTCTGATTGAAGCTACTTGCAAGGAGAGTGGAGTGGGGCAAGCCATGAAACTTCTTGATGAGATGAGGAGCAAAGGGTGTAAGCCAGATGTGGTCACCTACAATGTCCTCATCAATGGCATGTGCAAGGAAGGGAGGGTGGATGAAGCGATCAGATTTCTGAGCTACATGCCCACTTATGGGTGCAACCCTAATGTCATTAGCCATAATATTGTTCTGCGGAGCATGTGCAGCACGGGAAGATGGATGGATGCTGAGAAGTTGTTGGAGGACATGGTCCAGAAGAGGTGTTCACCAAGTGTTGTGACCTTCAACATCTTGATCAACTTCTTGTGTCGTAAAGGATTGCTGGGGCGTGCAATCAGTGTGTTGGAGAAGATGCCGGAATATGGGTGCACGCCCAATTCATTGAGTTATAACCCATTGCTTCATGGGTTCTGCAAGGAGAAAAAGATGAAGAGGGCCATTGAATACCTGGAAATAATGGTTTCGAGAGGGTGCTACCCTGATATTGTAACTTACAACACTTTGCTCACTGCTCTGTGCAAGGATGGAAAAGTTGAGGTTGCCGTTGAGATGCTTCATCAGCTTGGTAGCAAAGGCTGTTCCCCTGTGCTAATCACATATAACACAGTCATCGATGGGCTATCAAAAGTGGGTAAAACAGAGACGGCACTGGAACTTTTGGAAGAGATGGTAGTGAAAAGACTCCGACCTGATATCATTACTTATTCCTCAATTGTTGCTGGACTTAGTAGAGAGGGCAAGATTGAAGAAGCGATCAGAATCTTCCATGAGCTGAAAAATCTGAGTGTCAGGGCCAATGCTATAACATACAATGCTATTATTCTTGGTCTATGTAAGCTCCGTCAAACAGATCGTGCTATTGACTTTTTTGCGTACATGGTTTCTAGAGGTTGTATGCCAACTGAATCAACATACACCACTCTTATTGAAGGTTTGGCTTATGAGGGTATGGCTAAAGAGGCCTTGGATTTGCTAAATGAATTGTCTTCCAGAGGAGTGGTGAAGAAGAACTCTATGCAGAATGTTGTGGTTAGCATATAGGGCACTAAGACTTTCTTTTTCCCATTGTTTTGGATGAAAGCCAGCCAGTGATTGCTTGTACAATATGTTGGCATCATTCTGAGTCACCGAATACATTGGCTACTTTCATCTATGACCTCTCTTACTGGATCAAAAGTTGTTTACTTTTTAATGTCATTTATGAGTTATATTTCCATTCGAAATGGTGGTTAGCTCTCCACTGATCTCACCAAACAAGTGGATCTAAAAGACTCAGTTGGACAGATGGGAAGCGACTCTATATATTTCATTCACAAGAAAAAAATGAGCTATGATCCACATGATTTCATTTGTATATCCAATATTTCAATTATCTTTCCAAGAATGTTATTTATTTCAATGTATAATGCATCTTGTATTTTGAGCTACATTAATTTCACTTGTTCTAGAACCCATATATTTTTGGGTGCCCTTTTCTAATTTCTGTGTTAGCTATGACTCGTCTCTATGGTTGGCCTTAAAACTTCTCTTCTGATCCAATGTCCCAGTGCAAGTGTGCATTCTTGGCAAATGCAACCTCTACTCATATTCAAACAAGGGGGGACTGCCAGACTGGTAAGCGAGAGGGAAGGTAAGGGGCCTAACTGATGAGATTGAGTGCGGAGCCAAAAGGGAGGTGGATGAAGGTGCAGAAGGGGGCTGTTGGTGTTTACCTCTTGGTGGCGTTTGGGGGTGCCTGGGTTGAAAATGATTACCAAATGGGTTTGGGGGCTGAGCAATAGTACATTGTAGTACAGAAATCCAAGTTGCAGGTTTTTTCTCTGTTTCAAAACCTCTACGAATGGGTTTCTATTCTCTCTTTTATTGTATGAGATTTTGTTCTTCCATGTTTATCTTATTTTCTCATATCAATTTGTAAACTAAAAGAAATATTTAACTTTCATGAGAAATACAAATGTTCATATACATTTTGTCTTCAATGCTTTCTGACTTGTGAGCTAAGGGTTCGTTCAGCCTAGCCTTGAGCCAACTACTCTTTCCTAGTTTCTTACCTCACTCTTGTATCTTTCTGGGTCCAAGGGTCCAGATTCTTCTCTTTGCGAAGTCGCACTACATTACCTGATATGCTACCTTCTCTTTGTCCAGAACAGGGTGTTTTCCCTTGTCTAGAATAGGATGTTTTCATTGAGAATGATTTCTTCCTGAGGATTACAGAATAGTTATGCTGGAGACACCAGTGGGCTCGACCCAAGACCTGGTGTCAAGGTTATCAAAGCTAGAGAACCACATGGCAAGTGCCTAAAATTTGTCTGATGTCTACTGCACGGATTAGAGTGAACTTAACAACGCTGCAGATTGAAAGGCTACTGTGAGATAAGTCATCTAATCTCTCCACAGTGTCACCATCTATGGTAAAAATCCTTCAGATCTCATTTCATTCTGCTTCCGTCCACTAGTTGTTTCCTCTTGATACTTAGAATAACCCAGCAGCAAAAGAAAACCAGCTTTAGAATGCCTGTCACCATCTCCTAAGAGATTATCAGCAATGGAAAGAGTTCAATCCGTGTTCACTGTAGGTTTCCTGACCAGCAGTCTTGTGCCTCAAAGAGATGCGTATGCTTTCTACATGTCGCAATTGTTGATTGGATTCCCAGATCCTTGAGCACCTGTAGCCATTCAAGCTCCTCATCAATCTTAGCAATCATATTTTTCAGGGATGCTACTTGCAAGCATATAATATATATGGACGAAAAGGATTAATGGATGGAGTTTCTACAGACATGACATTTAGAGTGAAACTCAAATAGAAACTAATAAATCCGTATTTATTAGCATCTAAAATTTTGAAAATATTTAATTCAGTGCTAAATCAGTATTAGTTGATAAAATAAATATAGCTAGAGTTAAAAATTCAAAGAAGCATGGCAATTAGTTCTCTGACAATCCTCCCCTCTTTGTTACAGCATGCGGTGCCAAGATCAACACCAGAGACTCTTTGGGCAATGTTAAGGGTGCTAACAGTTTAGTATATGCTCTGCATCAGGATTTATATATGCAGCAAGTGTTTTTCCCTGAACGCCTGAAAAAGAAAATACAGAAATAAAGGCAAAAAATGCTAAAGAATGAAATGCTAAATAAAATAAACATCAACAACATCTTGAAAGCAGAAACAAAAGTTAGGAGGTACCCAAATAACTTTTGAAATACTTAAAGTTTCTGCTCATCAAGGGTACATGAGAAATTGCCTTCAGTAGAGCAAAAATAGCATCCTCAAGAACAGATAGAGACTTATTGACATTATGTGCGTCCTTAGGACGTTCTCCAGTAGCTCTAGAGCGATCTACTCTTTTGCCTCCAGCAAGAACTACCAAATGGAGAGGACAATGCAAAGAAAAACCAGCATCTGAGGCATACAACAATTCATGGACTCAAAGGTTAAAGAGCATGAGGCTGAATATAGAAGTGCAAGACGTGGGAAAGTCACACCATTCTGTAAGTCTTCTTCCCTGACCGAATCTGTCCCTTGCAGAGAATGGACAGATACAAGGCTGACTAGAATCTCTGTTCATGTCCGAGGTGAGAAACTTTTTATGCAAGGTCAGAAGCATTCAAGGCTTCACTTCACAACCGTTTGATGAAATTCTGCAAGCTTTGAAGTGTTTTCCTGAAGATTCCAGATTCAAAGAGGTGTCAAGAAAATAGTAAAAATTTAGCAGAAGAAGCGAACGCCTTTAATGCTTGCAACTGAGAGTTGATCCAACTTTCTAGGCATGTTCCATCTTATTCCATTTGCAAGCTTTGGATTCAGCTCTATGTTCTCTGAAATGAAGTGTATGTTTTCTCCTGCAACTCCATTTTAGTTTCTTTTTTCTTTGAGTTGGAGTCGTTGGCACTGTTTTTCGTCTGCTTTGTTCTTTATATCCATCTCCTACTGAACAGCAGTCGTGAGGTTCACTATTTTCTTCTTCTTCTTCTTCTTCTTCTTCTTGTAGAGTACCGTTTCTCTGCACTAGTTTAATATTAGTCTTCTTAGTAGATGAACATGTCGTAAACTCGGATGAAATTTACCGTAATAGACGGAAGACTTACTAACTCCTGATAAAGAAACACAACTCGAACACCAACTAGGTGCTGCAAAGAATTTATTTCCTGAATTTGTTCACACATCATTGATTTGGCCAAATTTGTTCCCTTCGATTTGAAAACAATCATGCAAGTGCCATTTGGAAGTCATCATCAATCTAAGTTGTTAATCCATCTGATGTCTGGGACTTGGACTATTTCAAAGGTGAACTCGTGCAAGTTGACAGCCATCGAAGTTGAGCATTGTTACTCATATTACGCTTTTTTCAGTATGTCCTCGAAACTAATGAGATAATAATGTTACGTCACAACAGTATATTGATGCAGTGTAAATCAGCTTATGCGCTTGCACGAGCGTGGGAGAGAAAGAGAGAGAGAGAGAGAGAGAGAGAGAGAGAGAGAGAGAGAGAGAGAGAGAGACCACTGGGTCTTGTTGACATCGGCTTAGCAGCGCCTACCTTTGCAATGGCACCCCCCACTTCTTCGCTAACCTGTTCATCCACGGAAGTCCACACTTAAATGAGAATGTATCTGCATGATTCGATTCAGTTCTGGAAGATAAATAAATATTTCACTTTACAGAAACTGATGAGTTTGGAATTTAGGTTGTAAAAATGGTATTTTTCCACCGTCGGAAGCATCAAGCCAAGAGAAGTAAGAGATCTTTCTCATCAAACAGTATGGATCGAGTCTCTCTCCACAGTGAGAAAAGAGGGTCCCAAAACGCATATAATCTCTTAATTTTGGGGATCAGAGTTCGTATGAGAGAGAGACAGATAGATAGATAGATAGATAGAGAGATAGAGAGAGAGCGAGAGAGAGAGAGAAGGTTAATAAATCTATCTTAAAGGTCTATAGAAATAACATGAAAAAAGTCGGAAATTAAATCTATATCACCGGACATAACATCCATTTCATCTATACCACTTCTATTTATTAGGCACCATAGTAATAATTGTCGAGTACTTGTCACAAGTGTTGGCTTTGAAAGCCTAAATAGTTTAACAGAATTATAGAATTAGATTACCAGATTATCTAAATCATAACAATTTCAGAAGAATTTTTAAACCTAAGGAAATCAAACTCACGGGTGCAGTGATCATTTTACGTTATAGAATAAAATTTTAAAACTAATAAAATCAGGGCTTTAAACGGGTCGTCATAATATAATGTATTTGATTTAATTGTATTTTTACAAGATTTTGTGGTTATTATCTTTTCAGGTTCGACCCATTAAAGGCCGAGATTGGAGCTCTCGCTTAAGGCGGCCCAATAGGGTAAAATGGAGCTTACTATTCGGATCCGCTCTCGCAGGTGGGGGAGGATGTCATGGGCGCTGGCAGATATTCGGATCTGCGTCGATCACGCGGCGGATCAACGGCCCAGATCGAGGGTCCGTTAGCGGCAATGAAGGGGACGGGTTCCCCTTTCCTCAAATCAGAGTGGGGTTAGGGGTTTACGAAAGAGTTCGGTGTCTGCCGCTACCTGCATCTCTCGGTCTTTCTCTCCCTCTCTCTCTCACACACACACTCTTTATTTCCCCTTCTTTTCCTATTTCTCCCACCTGGACTACAGCTGGTGTTTGCGGGACGAAGGGCTTTACTGGCCGCAGAAGAATCGAAAACTCTTCAACAAGGCTGGTAGATTCTTCGCCACGCGATTTTTTTTTCTTTTTTTCATCTGTTTTCTCAGTGCAACTTATTTTAACTTATTTCAGTTTCCTTCTTGTGCATATATGTAAATCTTTTGCCATGTCAAATTTCTTGTCGATGTGAATATATCTGAACATCTTTAGTCGAACATTGGTTGATGTTTTCTCCACAATTTTAAGCACGGGTGCTCTGCAGGGTCAGAAAGGACCGTTCACGTTTGTCCGTAGGAGTAATGGGAAAAGGAACATTTATCAACAGAAAAAGATGTTTAGAGTTTGGGCTCTTGAAGGCCTCTCTGGCCCCAAATGCTGTTCTTTTCAGGGCTGAGGTCTGGAGATAATCCGAGGCTTGGGATGGGCATTATGCGGTGTCTTTCACACATTGAGAGAGTCTTAGGATTTTGCATCAAACATTGAATTTATCGTAAAGGCTTGTTAATATTGGACCAGTGTAAAGTCCTTGAATCAGAACACTAAACGATGACAAGAGGATGGTGTTCAAATAGGAAAATAATTTATTATTTAATCTCAATAGCAAAGAGTTGTAGTACGAGACAGCTGTAGTTTCCATTTTTTTCATTCGTTTATGTGTCTCTGCCGAATGAATGTAAATTTAGTTATCGATTAGAACACAAGCCATTTGGATTTGTTTTAACAGTCATTCACATGGACCTTTTCCATTTGATCAAAATAAGTTTTATGCACTATGACATCACCTAAGACCATTAAAACGTTTCTGATAATAGATTCTACTTGAACTAAGATGGTCAATGAATGAGGATGGCTAATTAAAAAAGCTATCAGTTGTAGCATTTCTCTCTAACTATGGTTTAAAACTGTACTTTTAGCTAATGTAAAAAGCCCTCTGGTTACCTCATCTCTTACTTCACTTTCACTTCTTACATGGTAAAAAGAAACTTGTGGTGAAGAAGCTTGCTGAAGATGTCGAGGAGCTGAAGGCTAAGGGTGACGCGAAGAAAGCAAAGAATTTGGTATTTTTTTCTTTCCTTTGTGGCTTTCCACATCATCTGAAAGCTAGCATTTGATGTATTTGGGATTACATGGTAACTATTGTAGTGGAGAAAAACGTTGGAAAGAGCATGGCTGTTCCCAGCAAGCGCAAGATTGAGCATCAGAAGCAAAAAAATTGTAATGTTGGGGATGAGTCTTATGGCTTGGATGAAGAAGAGGAAACGGAAGAAGAGGAGGACGAAGAGCAGGGTAGTGGTAGCAGTGAGTCTGAACTCGATGGAGATGATATCCAAAAGGGAGCTACAAAGTTCACTAATGGCTCCAGGGCATTTAAGATGGCCTTCACGAAAATTATGAAAAAGAGTCCTCAGGATGACTTGGTCCTTGTAAGTTGCCCATTTAATGCTCTTAAATTTTTTCTCTATGTATTTTTTAAACTTCCCATGTTCGTTCATTTGACTGTGCTTTTGGTTTCAGGGTCCTGTTCTATCAGCACATAAGAAACTTGTGGTGAAGAAGCTTGCTGAAGATGTCGAGGAGCTGAAGGCTAAGGGTGATGCGAAGAAAGCAAAGAATTTGGTATTTTTTTCTTTCCTTTGTGGCTTTCCACATCATCTGAAAGCTAGCATTTGATGTATTTGGGATTACATGGTATCAATAGGCAGGGGAGAAAGGGCATGCAAAGCCTGCTGGCTTTCTGGATTCAAAGGAGAAGTTTCTTATTAGTGTTGCCACGAAAGGAGGCAAGACATCGTATTCTAAAATCTTAATCTTTTCTTCATTAGTGATTTTTCTTCTGATTTATCATATTGTGATTAATGTCTATCTGATATAATCACCATATTTCATGTCCCTGCTGGACGTTCAGTGGTCAAGCTATTCAATGCTGTAAGGCTACTTTATTGCCATCATCGTTTTGAATCTGCTATTGGGTAATTTATCTATGATTACGGTTAATTATTCTATTGCCTTGCAAACACTGCAGGTTAACAAGGCACAAAATCCTCAGAGAGCATTGAATCCTTCCAGGTCAAAAGATGCAAAAGGTATGTCATTTACTGCTGCTTATCATCTTTTCATGTGTTGCCTAATTGTGTAGCACTTCATAGGATATTGTCCTAGCGAATTAAGTGTTGAGAAGTCATTACCTGTTTGTCACCTTGTTATCAGATTCGGTTTAGGACTAAATTTGTATTTCATATACTATATTTTCGTGTTTGTCTAATATTCTTTCAACGTATATTCGATCAATGTTCAATGAAAAAATAGACGAGAGAATGTTGGAATTACTGAAGATGGTTGAAGAAAGAGCAGGGAGACAATCCTTGAATTTTTGGTGCTGAATTCGTATAGAATTCAGATACATAAAACTATTCATTTGAAGTTGGAAAGGGAATTTGAATTTAGTTTTAAAATTAGACTGATAGGTTATCTTGGCTTTTGTCGAATGCTGTAGATTTCTTGATAAAACGTAAAACTTTATTGACATTCTTTATGTTTTTAACCATTTTCTTCATGTGAACATTGTCCCATAAAGTATGACTGGAGAAATGTTTTATGAAATGTGACAGTGTTGGCCAAGAAGAGTAGAGCGGCATTTTTTTCTGAGATAAGGAAGACAACAACAGGGTCCAATGACAGCCGTTCTTCCTTCTACCCTGGCAGGGTGAGATACTTCTGTCATAACTTTTGTCATCTAATATTTCAATTTAGCTAATTTCTTTCTGCTTTCTACACATTATAAAATCTTTTAGTCAAACCTGCGTGAATGTCTCTCATTGTCGTGAACATCTTAATTTTTGATGTTTTGTTCCTATTTCTTCAAATGTTCCCAAGTGCTTTGGTTTTTAAGAATATTTGGATATTTTTTTATCCTTTTAAGTTTCTTACAATCGGGAATCCTCTTTCTGAAGGTTACTAAGGAAGCAGATTCCAGTAATGAGGAACCAGGATGGGCTCCTCTACGAGACAGCTATATGCTCACGAGTTCTAAAGTGAAAGATTGGGACAAGATGGAGGTGAGAGTTTTTATTCTTTATTATTGGCCTGGTGTTACCTCTATGGTTCTAAATGGGTGATTTTTTTGGCGTTTTGTGCAAATATATCCAGAATTCTTTGGCTGTACAAGACGCAATACAGCATTCCGGGAGTGGCTCTGATGAGGACTAGAATCTGAAAGGCTGGAGATGTAGAATTGATGAAGCTCGTCTATTGTGCAATATGAGCTGCTGTGGATATTGGCTTTTAATGCATAAAGTTGTCTGGGTGCTGGATTTGGTACTCGGATGTAGTTTCACTCTTTTATTGGTAGTTTGTTCTGCAACTTGAGAAAAATGTTCTTCTGATAGGGAGTATTTTTTTTTAACGTTATATCATTTATTCTTACATATGTGGCTGATGTTGTAAACGCTGAATTTAAATGCTGAATTTTCTATATGCTTACGAAGTTAAACAAGAAGGTAAGGTTTTGTCCTTTTTGTTACTTAACTTCATGGGATTATGAAAAATGGTTTTAAATTGTCCTTATGAGTGCTCCTAATTTGGAGTACTTTTACCATGCTATTGTATACATACTATCCAACGCCTAGGCTGGCTTAAAAAGTGATTATACTAAAATAAATAGCAGTTGATTGCAAAAAAGCATGCAAGAGGCAGTTTTTTGGGTGTGATTAAATTTAGACACTATCAGACCTATTAAAATTAGCTTTTGTGAAATACCAATCATGTGTTGATAGTAAATTGGAAATTTCAAGGCATCAAGCAAACATTTTAGCATGGCGTGATTATGTTTAACTAGAAATGAAATTTGAAGCTATTCAGTGAACTAGTGTCATGTCGTGATCATATTTTGTGAACTTTTGAAGCTTGGAGAGCTACAAGTAGACTTGTTAGAAAATTTAAAATGCCTCTGGTTCTGAAAAAAGGTTTCAAGGATTTACAAGGTTTTACATAAACTTTTACTCTTGTTGATATCTAATTAGAACTGATCCTTTTCCACCATTGGAAAAGGCAGAGCTTCTAATAGTTAAAAATGACTCCATAGGTAGCATTTTGGTGTTTCATTGTGCAAAACTAAAGGGTATAATTATCCAAAAAGCTTGGTCTTATTCCCTTGATATCTCAACTGTTAATTCTTGTTTTATTAAGGGTCTATCTTAGAAATTTGTTTTCACTCTCCACAAGAGAGTTGACAGTTTTGAAACCTGGTGTCAAAACTTAACATAGTGATCTTTGTGTTTCTATGCCTTTGGGACTTAATTTCAACATAAAAATATATAGGGAACCTATGGTCTAAAATTTCCAAAATGGACTCTTTTTAAACTTATAAGAATGATGATGAAACATTTGCTCACTTCCTCCATACCCTTGTAAGGCACAAATTTATTTAAATGAAGTCATGGATGAAAATCTTATAGAAATGATTCATTGTGGAAATTTAAGGTTGTTTATATATTTTTTTAATATTTTTCTCCCTTTATATTATTGTTCTCATGAAATTTCAAAGGACTAATTTTAATTTAGTTTGCTCTTTTCATAAAAATATTTCAATTTTCTAGGGTGAATAGCAAAATGTTTCATCATGGTAGTATCTTCATCATAAAATGAGGCTAATAGTTTTACCGAGTTTTTCCTCAAGGATTATTTGATAAGCTCATTAAGAGAAGGTTGAGGTAGTTGACTTTTTTCTATAATTGTCATCATCCAATTAGAAAGAATTTCAGACTCCCTAAAGCATTCATGGTGTTCATTACGAGTAGAATACATGTCAAAACTGTGTAAATCTAGAAATATTCAGGCACAATTGAGACGTGAAATGATTGCATCAAGGTGCCAAGGACTCAATCTAATCCATTTTTCACTAAATTTATGAATTTTGGTTATTTCTTTCTTTGAGAATTGATGAATCAAATGATATTTTGGCTCCAATTTCTGTATTTCCCCTCCCTCCAAATCAATCATTTTCAAGCCATAATGTTCAGTTCCTATTATTTTATTATCAATAATATAATTTGGACCCTAGATGTAGAAATATATGTCGGAACTGAAATAAATGTTATGTAATGATTTTAGTTCAGTTCTTCTGAAATTAGTGAGGCTTTTGGCATTTGTATTTCACATTGTGATTTATTTTTCTAACATTCCTATCTACATCACATTGAACTTTACATAAATCTTCTATGCACTATCACACATAAAACAATTGAAGCCATTAGTTAGTAGAACATATAATAAAACTTTTTAATTTTTCATATTAGTATCTAGATATTGAATGAACAACTTCCCTCTCCATTTTCTTTATAATTGTAAGGTAGTATTCATCAATCACTCCTAAAACTTGATAGCCTTGGGTCTTTATGATTAAGATCATTAAAATTTTCTTAAATATTAGACGCTCAAAGGTGGATTTCTTAGAGCATGAACCTACCAAATAATGATTTTAAGTTATAATGATGTTCCTGTAAAGTCAAATCTCTCCTAAAGTATTAGAGTTTAAAGTTTTCACACAATGAAGCTAAAGAAAAATGGTTGATATGACCCATAGAGAGGAATTAGGTTGACATAGTTTGGTTTTGGTTCAAATAAATAGTCTTGGTCATTGTATTAAGTGGCTTGACTATTGGAACACACTATGTTTTTATACTTGTAGAATGCCAAGATGAGAGTGATTTGCCAAAATTGAACCATGGCTTCCATCTACTTTCCAAAGGATGTTACCTTCTGTTTTCACTATTCTTCTTTAGCCAATTACAATAAAATTCATGGGTTAGCAAATCTCATATATGATCAAATTCATGAGACTATTACTTAACTTTAGAAACACTCATATTGTGACTTCACATGGGAAATCGAGTTTATAAAATTTTCACTCTTTTATTCATGAGCCTTTCTAAAGTTCTTGTGGGTGATTTGAGCACTGATGGAAGGTTGGTTGAGAAAAATTTACAACAAATGTTGTAGAGTGAATTTCAAAATTTACATAAAGGGATTATCCTTCTCATAGAATTCACCACCAGCTTGCCATTGTCTTTCTTGAAAGAATTCTAAGCAAGATATAGTGAGGTTCTTGTTGGCAACTCACACAATGTCAATACATTGATACGAGGAGGACTACAACAGCATTGAATGATCATCCTTGACCTAGCTGATGCTTAAAGATCCTTAATACTCAACCTACATTTTGACAAGAACAGGGCAACTACTATTTGATAATACATAACATTTTCTTCATTGGGATCTAAAAATAACATAAATCTAGAAGAAAATTTATAGGCAAAATTCTATAAGAGCTTAGCCTATTAATCAATAATTTGTGATAAGATGATCAATTCTAGAGAACATAGTTGACCTTAGAAAGTGGATGCAACTAGTGTACTGAACCACTATAAAAATTAGTAAGTTTACAGTTATTTAGTTAAGAAAATCCTACCGAGAACAAAGGAAAAAATAACTTATCTACATCTAAAGTGAGTCTCAAGAAAGAAAGTTAAGAACGGATCAATTCAACACCCCCACCCCCCTCTTGATCTTAGTGTAGACCAAAAACTTAATAGGTTGAGCCAACATCTAATAGTCTTCATGATTTTCTTTCATCATATATTTTTTATATCTTTTTTATGTTGACAAAAAGTAAGAGAATTGTAGAAAGTTGTGTACATACTCAGGGGCAGAATATATGCAAGGGGAGCAATTAATAAGCAAGAGCAAACTCTATATCAAAATAATATTTTTTATTTTTATGTGGATCTCTTTCTTTATAAATGTCAAGTTTAGCATTATGCCTAGAAACATTTATAAATAGTGCTAATTTTTTAAGTATTCTGTAAATATAGAAAGGGTAAGTTGTCACATTTAAATAAAAAAATTTAAAAATATATTAGAATACGCATTGAGAAATCAACTTTACTTGTTGTATTAATATTGTTTCTGGCCTCAAATAGCGAAAACAAGTTTCAAGAATCATATATATATCAAGCCAAATCAAATTAGAGCTTATGACCATGTTTTATAAATAAAACAAGGGGAGAGAGGAAGAAGGTCCACCAATTGTAAAGTCTATCCCACCAATAGGTAAAAAATCATGTCAACTCACAAAAAATGTATCTACTCTTTTTTGGTCTTGAAAGAAAAAGTGTGTTGAGCAATGGGTCAACTTAGTCAAATCAAATAGAATATGAAGAGAGAAAAATATCTTTAATATGCATTAGATGTGGCAAAAGATCTCTAACATTATATCATAACATGCCAAAAATCAAATATTTGTTGAAGTTCAAGTGCTCATTAGAATATCTTGGACTTCTAGGTTTGCAATTTTATCTATTATAGAGTTGGTCACAATAGTGATATGATAGAACTTCTTGCCTAGGAGATCTCAGATCAATCATAGCTCAATCATAGGACATTTATGGGATCTATAAAAGCCATTTGGAAGGGTTTCAAATGACACCTAAAAAACAAATCATCTCATCTTCTTGCCCACTTAACAACATTTCATTACAAGTTCATGTATGTCTTGTTGGAACATCAAATGAATAATATCTTGATGATGAAAAATATTCATATGATCAATTCAAAGATCAAATTATGTCTAATCTCAAATATACTTGACATGAGGATAATATTAAAGTGTATTATAGTTATGTTAAATGACGTGACTTAGTCGTTGTATATTAAATCACGTAAATATAAAATTTATAAAACTCGAAAATATAAATTTTTGGATATTTAAAAGTATTTCTAAATAAATATATCAATTATAATTCAATAAAACTTCCAAAAATAGCAGTAATTTCCAAGGTCGATCACAAGGATGTAATATAATATTTTGTAATTATTTAGATTTTTTTCTCAATTAATACGATTTTCTATGAATTTTATACTAGGAAATGAAAAGGAAATATATTTAAAATTCACGAGAAAAAGGAAATAAGGGTGCAGACGTCAGGATGACGTCGGCGCCCGGCGAACGCGAATCGGGCGGAAACAGAGTTCTGCCTGGCGATTCTTACGTAAGCGATTAAATTAATCAAATTAAGATCTGTAAAAGCCGGAAGAATCGTAATTGAACGAAGTATATTTTGGTAAATTAAAATCACACAAAGTATCACTAAATGAAGCGTAAATTAAATTGAAAGCAGGAAAAAAGAGTTCTGGCGTCGCAACGGCGATGCGTCGGCGATGCATCGGAATCCTTAGCGTTCGGGAGGGTCGTTGTGCAGTGTTCACGGCCTCGAAGGCTCTCTTTGGACAAAGACGACGTGGGCAATCTCTAGATCTTCTCGCGAAGTCTAGAGATCACTGAAATGGGTCGTCGAGTCGTCTCCGGCGGCTATCACCCGGTGGAGCGGAAAAACGGCGACTTTGTGACTCTCTGGCGGCTGTCACCCGACGGAGAGGAGCTGGATGGAGGTGGGGCGCGTGTCAGGGAGCTTCATCCTCAGGTCCGCGCAGCAAGAGGAGGCTCTTTATCGCATCTGGTACGCTCTTAGGAGGTGGCGACTCGTCTCCCGGCGGATCGTCCTCTTCCCGACGACGGCTTGTTCGTCGATCAATCGGAGATGATTTACTCGATGGATTCACGAATCGTTCAGCAATTTTAGTAGCAATGCTCCGCGAATCGTGTTGACGAGATTTTCGCCGATGATCTAGCGATTCTCGTTGCTTAATCCTTCACCGGCGATCTACAGGAAAGTCGCGATAATCAGATAAAAATATCTGAATTTTGACTCTGGGAGGATTCGAACCCGTGCCGGTTGTCCGCCCCTTCTGAGGAAGGTGTGACGCGGGTTTAGTCCCACATCAGTTGTGCGCCGATTTTTCAGGCGAATATATAGTAATGTTAGCTTTCTAAGCAAAGTCTCTTCTCTCGCGTGTACGACCACTCCTTGCCCCACAGCCGGCTGGCCACCAGTGACGTGGAAGGGGAGTGGCGCACACGTGCCCCTATCGGTCCAAGCCGCTCAAGCCCCTGCTCACGGCTACTCCTCGACTGAGCTTCCGTCCCGTTTGCGGGCCCGGCTGGCCGGCGGGTTTCCCCCATTTTGCAATATTTTAGTTTTATTTCTTTTTCTTCATTTATCTCAAAAGTAAGACTGTAAAAATCATATAAATTCGTATAAAATCACATAATTACCTAAAAAATCACATTAATCAACTGAAAACCACTTTCCACACTTTAACACAAATATAAGTCTATTTATCACAAGTTAAGGCTAAAACTATATTATTTACTAATTATTAACTCATGATAATGAAGACTTATCATTAAATTTCCAAATGAGGATTCATTCAATTTATATATTTGATTGATTTCATCATATGAAATTAACTTGTTTCATATTTTTGTGAAAAGTGTCAATATATAAAAAATATATCATAATGAGAAAGTAATGATGAGCACATCAAAATCAACGAGACAACTAGTAAAATATGGTTATAAAGCTTATTTAGTTTATTGTAGACTCATGACATTAGATCACTACTTTAGAATGATTTTGATATCATTCTAATCGATTGTATTCAGATTACTTATTTGGTAAAACATGATTTTATAAATATTAAGGAATATACTTTGGAAAATTATTTTAGATATCTTGAATAACCAAAAATATGATTATAAATATTAAGCTCATGATTATGATGTTTAGTTGACAATCTTATTTTACTTGAGGTGATTCAAATAAGATTTAGTTACTAAATCAGCATCTTATCATGGTATATATTGTTAGGCCTATTTTAATAATATCAGATTTTATTGCTCTTGATTGAACCAATATGATTCAGATATTTAGATTGTGTTTTGAAAGAACCATATATTGGTTTCTCTTAAAGATATTTGACGTGACTTAGTCGTTGTATATTAAATCACGCAAATATAAAATTTATAAAACTAGAAAATACGAATTTTTAGATATTTAGAAGTATTTCTGAACAAATATATGAATTATAATTCAATAAAACTTCCAAAAATAGCAGTAATTTTCTAGGTCGATCACAGGGATGTAATATAATATCTGGTAATTATTCAGAATTTTCCTCAGAGAATACTATTTTATATGAATTTTATACTATGAAATGAAAAGGAAATATATTTAAAAGGGAAATAAGGGTGCGGACGTCAGGATGACGTCAGTGCCTGGCGAACGCAAATCGGGTGGAAACAGAGTTCCACCCGGCGATTCTTTCGTAAGCGATTACAAATGATTTAATTAATCAAATTAAGATATGTAAAAGTCGAAAGAATCGTAATTAAACGAAGTATATTTTGGTAAATTAAAAACACAAAAATTAATCACTAAATGAAGCGTAAAGTAAGTTTGAAAGCAGGAAAATAGAGTTCCGGCGTCGCGACGACGATGCGTTGGCAATGCACCAGAATCTTGAGCGTTCGGGAGGATCGTCGTGTAGTGTCCACAGCCTCGAAGGCTCTCCTTGGACAAAGACGACGTGGGCAATCTCTAGATCTTCTCGCGAAGTCTAGAAATTAATGAAATGGGTCGTCGAGTCATCTCCGGCGGCTGTCACCCGGCGGAGCAGAAAAACGGCGACTTTGCGGCTCTCCGGCAGCTGTCACCCGACGGAGAGGAGCTGGATGGAGGTGGGGCGCATGTCAGGGAGCTTCATCCTCAAGTCCGTGCAGCAAGAGGAGGCTCTTCATCACATCTGGTACGCTCTCAGGAGGTGGCGACTCGTCTTCCAGCGGATCGTCCTCTTCCCGATGACGGCTTGTTCGTCGATCAATCGGAAATGATTTACTCGATGGATTCGCTATCCTTTTATCGCGAATCGTTCAGCAATTTTAGTAGCAATGCTCCGCGAATCGCGTTGACGAGATTTTCACCGATGATCCAGCGATTCTCGTTGCTTAATCTTTCACCGGCGATCTACAGGAAAGTTGCGATAATCAGATAAAAATATATGAATTTTGACTCTAGGAGGATTCGAACCCGCGCCGGTTGTCCGCCCCTTTTGAGGAAGGTGTGACGCAGGTTTAGTCCCACATCGATTGTGTGCCGATTTTTCGGGCGAATATATAGTAATGTTAGCTTTCTAAGTAAAGTTCCTTCTCTCGCATGTACGACCACTCCTTGCCCCACAGCCGGCTGGCCACCGGTGACGTGGAAGGGGAGTGGCACACACGTGCCCCTATCGGTCCAAGCCGCTCGAGCCCCTGTTCGTGGCTACTCCCTAACTGAGCTTCCAACCCACTTGCGGGCCCGGCTGGCCGGCGGGTCCCCCCCTCATTTTGTCTTATTTTTATTTCTTTTTCTTCATTTATCTCAGAAGTAAGATTGTAAAACTCATATAAATTTGTATAAAATCACATAATTACCTAAAAAAATCACATTAAACAACTGAAAACCACTTTTCACACTTCAACACAAAGATAAGTCTATTTATCACAAGTTAAGGCTAAAACTATATTATTTACTAGTTATTAACTCATGATAATGAAGACATCAATATCCAAACTTGTAAATGACATATCTTGTTGGTTTCCTAGTCTTCTGAATTTTGAATCATTTCTAGAAATATAACTTTATGATATGACAGAAAATAGTAGGAGAGATTGAATATGACTTTTCTACAATTAGAATAGTTTTTATGTGAGTCTATGTAAAAAAATATAAAGGATATTGTAAGATCTTTGCTTGCTAGTCAAATTATATGAAGACACCAAATTGAGGAACATTACTCAAGTATTTAGTAACCATTCTCAACTAATTCAAAAGAGTAACAACTTTCATCTTCAACTAGCATCCTTATAAGAATAGTACATCAAATATCAAGTCTTTATTATTATCTTCATTATCAAAATTCCAAATACACTTGACAACACTCTAATTTTATGTGATAAATGAGATCAATCAGATGTAATCATAACCTAAATTTATGATTGAATATATACATTTGAATTACAATACATTTAGTTGTGTTGAAATACTATATAGAAATTTCATGATTAAACTTGCACCTTAGATGATCTATCTTCATGAATTTATTTTGATCTTTTAATATTATGTGTTGATGCAATCATCCAAGGTTTAATGTCTTTAAATATATTTATCTTTTAATTACAATATGTTCATGAAGTTATATTTTAAATTAATATTTTTCGTGATTTTCTATAGTTGTTTGAAAATGAGTTGAAGCATATGGTAAGAAAGCTAAGACCCATTGTTTAGGCTCCAGGCCGACTTAGCCACATCACCATAAAAAGGGGATTTAATCCAAAGTTTTGACAAGTCAACAAGCCCGTGTGTGAGTCACTAAAATACATCAGCTAGGTCAAAATGGTAAGTCCATGCAAATTCAAAAAGGAAGAAAAACCAATTGCTAGGTTTTGACTCATGTTAGATCTGATTTTTAAGGCTACGGGGAGGTACGCATTTTCCCCGGCCGACCGAGTCATGTTTTCGGCAGATGGAGGGGGAATCTCCGTTCCGAACCACATTCCTGCGTCGTTCTCGGGCAATCCGATGCGTACACTACTGTACACGCGTAGAAATGAGGTCAAAAAATTCGTGCCTTTTTGACCTAGAGAAAGGGGGAAAAATAGAGGATTTCGCTTGACTTTTGGTGGCTTTCTCTTGGTTGGTCATTGATAAGTCTTCATTATCATGAGTTAATAATAAATAAATAATATTTTTTTAGCCTTAACTCATGATAAATAGACTTATATTTGTGTTAAAGTGTGAAAAGTGGTTTTCAATTGATTAACGTGAATTTTTGGCTAATTATATGATTTTATACGAATTTATATAATTTTTACAATCTTACTTTTGAGATAAATAAAGAAAAACAAATAAAAATAAAAATATAGTAAAATGGGGGGTACCTGCCGGCCAACTGAGCTCGCAAGCAATTAGAAGTGCAGTCGGTGAGGAGCTGTGTCCAAGGGCTCGAGTGGCTAGAACTGATAAGGGCACATGTGCGCCACTCCCCATCCACGTCACCAGTGGCCAGCCGGTCGTGGGGCAAAAAGTGGTCATACACGCAGGAGAAAAGGACTTACTTACAAATGTAATATTAGTATATATTCGTCCGAAACTTCAACGCACAATCGATGTGAGACTAAACTCATGTCATACCTTCCCTCGAAAGGCTTCAATGATTTTAATACCTACAATACCCCTTATTTATAATAGAGATATACCATGATGACATCACTTGATAAGGGTATTAGAGTATTTATTTCAATCTCTCTCATATAGGTAGGCAACCGGTGCGGGTTCAAATCCTCCTAGAGCCAAAACTCGTATTTTTATTTGATTATCACAACTTTCCTGATCGCTGGTGAAGGATTAAGCCACTAGAGTCGTTGGATCATTAGTGAAAATCTCATCAATGTGATTCGTAAAGCATTGTTACTAAAATTAATGAATGACGTGACTTAGTCGTTGTATATTAAATCACGTAAATCTAAAATTTATAAAACTAGAAAATACGAATTTTTGGATATTTAGAAGTATTTCTGAATAAATATATCAATTATAATTCAATAAAACTATCAAAAATAGCAGTAATTTTCCAGGTCGATCATAGGGATGTAATATAATGAA